GATTTTGATATTGGTTCTAGCAGTGTATCAACAAATTTTGTCAAGCACAGAACAAGGTTTTATGGATTGTTATGAGAAAACCGAACATCCATGTTTTAACTAGGGGGTGGGTCATGCAATTTCCAACCTTTCTTTAGGGGTGGGTCAGTCATTTTTGTGCCGAAGGGAGGGGGTGGGTCATGTGGTTTTTATCAACCACATTTCCAAATGCTCCGGCCCACCCCTCCCCTATACTTTTTGACCAGTCCCTAAAGTGGTAATTGTAAGTGGTCAGTGGAGTAAGTTTCTGACCCTTTTAAGTAAAGGTCTTAGCTTTCAGGAATTGACAAGTGGAAAACGGAACTAAAGTGACCCTTGAACTCAGTTCTCTGAATTTCTACGTCAGGTGGTCGTTCTAAAGACGTTCAAGGCGATAATCTCCATGCCGCCGAGAATGACAGAGATCGATCGGCTTGTCATCCGGGGACTACAGGAGAACCCTTTACTGGAAAAGGAGGTTTGTGTTTTTATATCAATTTACCAAATTGGCGGCTTCAAAAGTAACTTATCTTTTTCCTACTTGATCTTCCCGCAATTATGCCGCGAGATGCTAACTTGGCTGGTGTTGTCATTGCTGTTTGTGTTATAACTGTGGATCATTTTTACTCGCGTAGTCAGCAGCTATGCACATTTCGGATCATTATACGTTTATGAGAAACTGCCCACCTACCCCTCCCCTAAGCTAACATTTTGCCCTAAGTGGGAAGTAAGTGTTAATGTTGGCTCAGTGGAGGGGTGGTGGGCAGTTTCCCAGAAACGTATAATGATCAGACTTGGAGCAAAAGAAAGTTTTTGATGAGAAAAGAGTTCAATCCACTCAAGTTTTCTTTAATACACCAACATGGCCGCTGTTTCATTGTTTTGCACACGAGTGTGGCCACCATGACGTTATATAAAAACGATCAATCTATTTGGATCTGGCGGGGAACAGAAGCTTTAATAGGACAGCTGCACGATGACGTCATTTTACTACAACTACCAGAATCCTTGAGTTTGTTGCTTTCTTGTGCAAATTAAGGTTATTGTTCTTTAATCCTCAGTGGGATTGACAAATTTAAATAACAAAGCAAAACCGAAATGAATTCTGGTAGTTGTAGTGAAATATCGTCATCGTGTCATTGTCCTATTCTATCATATTCTTACTATGTTAGTGTTATCGTCTTCGAACAAAACAAAGAAGAAGTAGTACTGTGTTGTTTTCAAATGAGAGGTTGTAAATAGTCACGATGCTGCAATAAGAAAATTTAAAAAGCGCCTCGGCACTTTTTCGAGTAAATAATTTTTATAATACTGTTTATTAATTCTTAGTTTTATTTTTTTGATGGGTGTATGCTCACGAAGATGTTCTTTTTAGCGTCGTAAACAAGCCATAAGCGGAGGAATTACTTTGGCCAATCGAATGTGATTTAGCATAATTATCCGATTAACCAAACAAAACGCCAACCCAGTGTGTTCTTTCGTGTCGTTAATGGTTTAGTTTTACCTTTTTATGTTTTGATTTATTATTGCAGGAACTTTGGTCTCAGTCACGCTATGCTGTTTTTAGAAAGGTATTTAGCAAACTCTAAAGATTTCAAGAGCGGATCCAGGAATTTTTGACAAAGAGTCCAAACTTATTTCAAGTTTGAAAATGTTTGGCCTTGTTAACAAACTCTACTTTCCCCGGCCGTTTACATGTTTCCTAGAAAACTGCATTTGACGCAAAAACAAGCTTGAAAGTAAGGCATTATACAGCTCCAAATGAATGAGTAATAATAAATAATAATAGTCTTTATTCAATCAAAGGATAAAAATACATATCCTAAGTTACAGTGAAAATGTATTAAAAGATACACGTTAAAATACAATAGTAATAGAAGATAGAATAATACTATACTAACTTATATTTAAGAATAAGTATATTTACAAAAGTTTTCTTGTATCTCTCCGTTTTTATCTGAGGAAGGTGACACATTCTCCTACGCAAATTATATACTAGGTGCGATCATTCCCAAAGAAAAAGAATTAGCATATGATTATTAATAGCTCTTTTGAAAGCGGATTTATCTTGTTGTTCTAAAAGATTAAAGATGCTGACTGTTTGAGAGATAAAATGACGCTTATGGCACCTGTCTAAAACACGCTGTATAACATTTAAATCAGAATAAGAAGCCCCATACACAGCGAGACCATATGTGAGAATGGGAAGAACTAGGGTTTTAAACAAGTGATCTATTTCCTTCTGGCTAAAGAATTCCTTTCGTAGAGTTCTGAGAATGTGAAGACACTTGTTAGATTTTGTAAGCTTGAGTCTAAGGTGCTCGCTAAATTTACAGTTAGGCTGAAAAGTCAGTCCGAGCAATACAAGGCTATCACATTGAGGAATGTTATTGATGGGAGCTTACTGATGGCGTGTACCGCTACTTTCCTTCTTTCTAAATATCAGTTCTTTACACTTGCTCGGATTATACAGGATCTAATTATTTATACTCCAACTGAGAAACTGATTCACCAGGTCTGCTGACGTTTCTGAATCCTTCCATACGGGAGCTACTATAGTAGAGTCGTCAGCATATTTGAAAAGCACGGGCGTGTCATTCATAAAAACCTCCAGGTCATTGAGGAAAACATTAAATAAATGTGGACCCCCCACACTTCCTTGTGTGGTCCCCTTTTTGACACATACCCAGTCACAAGAATACTCAAAAAACTATGATACCAATTAATTATAAAGGGGTTCAAGGGTAACTGTTTCAACTTTGCAGATAGAAGGTTATGCTTAACAGAATCAAAGGCCTTGCTGAAATTCATAGTAAAAAGTTGTTTGTTTGTTGTCTCCTTTTTAAAACTTTCAACTCCAAGGTAACGGATTACGCGACTTCAGCGTTATTGCATTACTACTCTGCGACTGATCCTGCCGCACAACTGCGAGGAGTCTGGGTGAGTTAGTTAATTAATGTTCATGCATGAACCACCTGCAGACCAGCTAAATCCCGGTTTCCATATGGTCGCTTTGATCACTGAAAAAAAGGTTCAGCGACCGTAGCGATAATTTGGCAAGCACTCTCAAGCGATCGAAGCGAGGGAAGTGACAGCAAAAATACCAGGATGCAATGCGTACGCTCCCCCATTTCAAGATGGCACCCACTACGAGTAACGAGAAATCATTGGCTTTGGCACTTTTTATGGACGAAGTTCAAAAATACGAGTGCCTTAGTTTACAACAAATTTTTCCACAGAATATAGAGACGAGAAAAGAAAAACAATTGCTGAGAAGCAATTGAGGAAAAACTCCACCTGAGTCCCGATCAGGCAGAGAAGAACAGTGTGCGCGAGATTTTTAAAGAAATCAGTGCTGTCTTGTTTTGGAAGAAAGGCGGTAACAGTACGGTGTTGAATTTGAAGAATTGCGCGAATGATGTTGTCAAACCTAGGTGCCCTCGATACTCTCTCAGCGATCGTAGTGATTATATGGAAACCACTGATCGATCGTGATTAGAAAAAATGTCAAATTACCTCACCCATTAAATGTTCGGAATTTTACCGCATTGTGTTTTCACAATTCCATTGTGAAATTTGACGTTTTCCCGGGCTCCCATGAGAAATATTTTTTTGGTATTATTACAGATAACGAATTCAACTGGATAGCCCTTAAAAATATAAGAAAGAATGTAATATCGTTTAAATTATCCTGGTACAAGATTTTTATTCACTGAAAATTGAAATTATTCAATTTCCTGATGTCATTTTTCTTTGCAGAAATGGTTAAACAGTTTCCAAGGATTGTTCTCTATTAAATGTACCGCCTGCGGTACTCACTTGAAGGAGGAGGAAGAAAATGTATTATTACCTCCATGCTGGCGAACTTACGAAGATCTTTCTCCGTATCACTATCAGTGTAGACCCTAAGTTTTGCATTAGGTCAGACTATTGTGTTTAAAATAAACTTATATTTCACTGTACTCAGTGCTTAATCTGTTTAAGTAGTTTTGGAGTGAAAAAGATTAAAAAATATATACAGGCATAAAAAGGTTGAATAACCAAAATGTTGATGTAGCCGTGCCTCAGTGGGGGCTTGTTTTGATATTTACTGACCTGGGAGGGCCAAGCTCCTCGCCCCTTCCAGTGAATAACAACATTGTTGAATTATTGAAGGACTTCATTGAAATCTCTTTATTAGGATACATTTAAGTCTTTCGAACACTATATCGCCCCTCATGGTGGGTTGTCATTTCACTGGGTGCGGATAAAATGGTTCTCTGGCTAATTGGCTTACAAGAAATCGCATCAGTCTATTTCAACTAAGTTTGGAAAATAGCAGTTAAGGATTTGCTAACTACCGTAAACACTAGCAAATAGGTTATTCAAAAGCGATATTGTTCTGGGTGGTATACTTTAAACGAATGTTCAGCCAGTAGCCAGAGCGGGACATTAATCGTATCGTATCAGGAGAGAATAGTCAGAAGAAGTTCAAGCATGGTTAATCTATAAAGGTTTTAAAGTTTAAAAGTTAGCTAGTTTACAGGCCCTCCTCTCAATTACATAGAAACAAATAATTCAAATATAACAGAACAGGATTGAATAACCGTGGCCGAGGATTTGAGCTCGGGACGACCGAGAACAGATCCAGCTAGCGGCCAGAGCGGGACTCGAAACCTAGACCGTTGGATTGCGAGTCCAACGCGCTGACCACTCGACCACGCTGCCGCCGCCTCCTCCTATGCTCAACAAAAACGTAAAAATAATCAGTTATAGATAATACGGAACGACAAGCTTTCCAAACTTAAACCAGAAACGGTGGACTCGGTCGTCAGCTATCTTTTTCTAAATATCAGTGGTGTCGACAATGATTTTTATGAACATTGTATCATCTCTTACGTAGGCGTGACTATTTAAGTCAGACAGCGAGCAGAAATTTGGACATCCACTGGCAATGTTTGACTGTCGCCTTGGCCTTTGAAAGGAGGTGCTCCTTGGGTCAGGCCTGAAGGCATCGATCACGTGCTCCACGTTGTCTTGGTCCATCAACATCATAGTGACCTTTTGTCGGAAAGGCCAACGGAGAAGTGCATCGAACTCACCACGCATGAGAACGAAAAACAACGAAAGATGTGTTCCTTTGCCCATGCCATCTCCGTTCAAATACAGCCTGGCACACATTTTGTAGCCATGGCGACTGGTGTAGAAGCACGGGCTATAAATGGAGGATTGCCGTCCAGAACGCGCTTCTTCTGTGCGACGAGCGACTTCTGTGACCTTCCAGAGTAATATGCCATCATAGGTAGAGAACTGTTCTTGTCGTACATGTTCCTCGATGTCTTGTACAGTTACGTTCCTGAGTGCCAAATTGTGCTCTATGGATTCAATTCGTCTTTCAAGTCGCCTTACGCTGTTTACACTTTCGTCCACTTGACCCCGAAGAGAGGATATCTAATCAATAGATCAAACTGTGAATGTCAAAGAGTTAGCCAGTCAGTCAGTCATTCATTAGGGTGTTAAACAGTGAATCTGTAATTTAGCCAATTAGTGAAAGATTAGTGTAAAGGAAGCAGTGATGGGTCAAGGAGAAGAACGAATCATTCATCTATTAGTAAAACCGCAAAAGGAATTTCTCCAGCTCAGTTTCTCTATGGTAATAATGACACATTGTCCAAACAATGTTACCCCGGATTGCGCACACATTGACATCAGACTTAGAATCTACACCTGCACTATTCTTAAAAGGTGAGTCTCTATTAATGCACCATACAGAATTCCATCATTAACTTACCCAGAAAAGCGACAAACACTTCCCGGACTCCCAGATTTTACACCCACATTAGAGTGTGTTACAAGAGAGAATGAGCAAGAGAGAATAAGCCATTCTCTATTGGGTGTTAATACTAAGAAACTTGATATTAACTCTGCATTCCAGATCAGTTGAGTAACAGTCGGCAAAATCAAGGCCAGAAAAAATGTCACAGTTTTGGGACATAATTCTGTGACCAAATTTTCAGGAGAGGTCAATCGTTTGTTAATATGAAGGGAAATTATGTGGAGAAAAAAAGATAGACAATCTTTTACCTCTTGCTTGACATCGTTTATCTCTCGAACTGTTTCGCCCATGAGGAATTCTATGTTACCACTTCCATTTTCAGCGTTAGTGAGTCTTCTTGAAATGTCCCCAGGCAAATTCTGAGGCAACAACATAACGGAATTTGATGCCATTGGTATGTCTTTAGCAGTTCTAACCCTTCCTTCCAGTAAGGCAAGTCTTTGGCCTTGTTCCACCAGTTTCTGGCGCAAATCTGTTGTCTCTCTTACAGCTGTATCTATTTTTGATATTGCTTCGGAAACGAGCCTTTCCGATCCCCTCGTCCAGTCATTAGCGCCACTACCAACCCATGCTGCAGACGTACCGACAACTTGCTTTAAGTGCTTCTCGAGACGGAGAACGAAATTTAGCAGCAGATTCAGATGAAATACGGAACATATCTGGTTGTGTTTCTTTGCCTCTGAATACCTCATTTTCTACAGAAAGGAATGGTTACTATAGTTAGATATGAACTGCCAAAACCAGCTGCGCCCTCACATGTTAGGGGGCAAGTAGAGCAGCTCGTGGGATGCTGCCGGTTCACAAAGTGCACCCTCAGCGTGTAATTCTGAAAGATAAATACCAAAAGCAAACCTTCGTAGTCTTTTCACATCCGATTTGCTCAAAAGAGCAGCTTCTCTCTACTTCCTCGCAGTCACCATCAACGGGACTAAGATGTTTTTCCATCTGTGTACAGAAAAAACGGATACTTTACTCTAGATTAGTAAAAGTTGTAAAGTTCCTCGTGTAAAATAAGGATCTGAGCTGTAGCTAAGAGGCACACGCTAAATTGAATGATATGGCAACATCACATCAAGCTAACTACGATATCAAAATGTTTTGCAGTTGCACAAGCGCGAACACTACTAAAAATAGTATCTATAAATGACGTATGCAGTTATTTAACAGGACTGGTGTGAGCTTTCCTCTGAGCTGTAGTGACTTTAATTCGCGTCCTGTGGCCTTTTCGCGGCCTAAAAAAGAACTTATATCGAGTCACTCACTCACTCAACCTCTCCATCCCGGCTGGGACAGGAGACTACAATAAAATTTCGCCTCTCTACCCTGTACTGATCTTTGGCCTGCGCTTCACGCTATGTTAGACCCAACTCCTCCAGCTCTTTCATAGCTGTTATCCCCCGGCTGTTTTTTTGGCCGACCTCTTTTCCTCTTCCCAGTTGGGGCTTTGTTAATGTGGGCCTTCACGTATTTATGGGCACCTTTGTCACTACTAATAAGGCTTTCGAGATAGGTGAAATCATCGATGCACTATAGTTCCTCTCTACTGATGGTGCTTCGACATACATCTCCTTAGTCCTTTTAGGGTTGATGTACAGACCGGTTTTTCCGTGCAAAATTGCTTTCATGGTCGATCGTATTTTTCCTGGAGATGGCTAAGAGTGGCTGACATGACTGCCAGATCATCGGTAAAATCAACGTCTTCCAAATGCATGTGAGAACCGGGTCAACGGAAGCCTGGGACCAGGCTCCTTATTGGTGGAAAAGGCAGCCTGAGGCTGTTTCACACATCACCCAGTCAATGCTTACTAGACTGGAGAGATAATGCTCGTACTCCAAACGGGACAGGGAATGACTCTGTCAAAGCATTTGAAGTGCTCATAAAATTTTGCTATGATATTAACAATCTTAGGTGGTAGTACGTATGACCTCAAGATCTTGCAAAGACTCTCACAGTTAACACTCTCGAATGCTTTCTCAAAGTCATGAATGAAGTTGATAAACAAGGGAACGTTCCACTCAATGAACTGTTGCGCTCAATGATGTCCGGAGAACAAAAACTTGTTCTATGCAACCTCAGCCTCCTCAACTGTTGATCTAAGGCACTATCAATCCTTTTGAGGAGTACTTTCTGCAGAAGACTTCACTCGGAATGGACAAAAGTGTTATGCCTCGTCAGTTGTCTCAATTAATGAGGCCTCCTGCTTCGCGATCTTGCCTATAAGGCCGATGCGCTGATCCAGACTGTGGAAATTACCTCATGGTTCCAGATCTTAGTAAAGATATTCCTCAGCCCCAAGGATGCACTGGGGGTATCTGTCTTTGGTAATCCTGCTTGAAACGAATCAATCCCTGGAGCTTTTCCATTCTTCAATGGTTATATTTAAGACTCCACTTGGAGGGCGGGTCGGTGTTAATGTTGAGGTCATCCGAAGGGTCTAGGTTGGCAGCCTCATTAGGTCTCGGCCGGTTAAGCGCTTCTTAAAAATGCTGGACCCATCTTGAAGCCTGTTGCTTTTAGTTGTTATAACTTTCTGTGAGGGTATAGCTATGACAAAATTCAATAACCCAAAAGCGAAAAGGGTTAAGTCAAATCTGAAACTTACCGAGTCAAAGTTGGTAAAAAAGAGGACCACGTTAAAAGGAAGAAATACTAAAAAAGCCACTGTCACAGAGGTATCACGCGAAAAAACTGAAAAGGCATCACGCTAATAGGCAACATGCAAAGAGACATCACGCAAAGAGCCAACAACGCAAAAAGGCATAACGCAAAGAGGCATCACGAAAAGAGCCAACACGCAAAAAGGCATCACGCAAAGAGGCAACACGCAAAAAGGCATAACGCAAAAAGGCAGTACTCAAAGAGGCAACAGGCAAAAAGGCTGTACGCAAAAAAACATAAACGCTAAAAGGCAACACGCAAAAAGGCATCGCAAAAAAGGCAGTTTGCAAAAAAGGGCAATTTGCAAAAAGGGCATCACGTGATAAGTTCACTTAGGATCCAGGCTTTGCTTTTTTGCGTGTTAGCTCTTTGCGGGTTGCCTTTTTGCGTGTTGCCTTTTTTCGTGGTGCCTTTTTGCGTGTTGCCTCTTTCCGTTATGCCTTTTTGCGTGTTGACTCTTTGCGTGATGCCTCTTTGCGTGTTGCCTTTTAGCGTGATGCCTTTTTCTGCGTGATACCTATATGATAGTGGCTTTTTTAGTATTTCTTCCTTTTAACGTTTTTTTTACCAACTTTGACACGGTATATTTCAGATTTGACCTAACCCTTTTCACTTTTAGGTTACTGAATTTTGTCATAGATATACCATCATAACTTTCCCTTCCTTCTCTCTGACTGGTTTGATGTAGGTGTTACTCTGTCCACTTAGCTGCTTAGTGATCTTGTACAAAGTGTTGAGGTCCAGCGGCAGCCTTCTATGCTTCACTAGGTAGCCCCTTGAAGGTTCTCTTGTCCCTTCGGGCACTCCCCATTGACGTCTTTCTTTGATCTTATATACTTCTGTTGCACGCTGAGTCGGTCTTGGGACGTTGCACTTAGCATGTTATTTTTGGCTTTCCTCCCTCATCGATTTTCATCCTTCTGTTACATGTTACCCATTGCTTATCTTTCTTTATAAAGTCCAGAGCATTCGCTCTCCGTGGTTTCTTTACACACTCTTAAGATGTTGCTCCAGGTTGTTCCAACGGTGTCCTAACCTTCTCCATCTTCACTTTTAAGTGCACTGAAACGGTTGCTTAAAGGTCGATATTGAACTCTTTTTTACCCTCAGGTGCACCAAGGTTGTTGACGTCAAACCAGGTTTTGCCGGTAGTTTTAACCTGACCTTGGCTATCATCAATTAGTTCTGACTTATTTCGCCATACGAAAATCACATTTATGAGTAATTATTAAGTCTAGGAATATCATACCTCTCCTCGCAGAATTCCCTCTCTACGACATAGACGACATTGCACGGGATACATTTTACAATCCTTGTCTTCGTGGCTCTGAAGAACGGGAAACAAATCAAAAAGTTTTAATTGGCTAAATGAAATCAAGTAGTTCATTTTTAACTCCCAAGCATGTCTTGATTCGGTATGGACGTAACTGTACGACTCGGCTTAAGAGCTATATAAGGTCATAGTGTGGCTCTTCAACACCGTGTACATAATAAAAAGTTTCTCCAAACCGCATGTGTTCGGAATTTCTTAGATATCTGTAAAGTTACTAGTTTAACATATTAAAGAAAGAACACAAATGTTTACAAAATAACGTCTCAGTACTATTATAGAGGGTCCTGAAGGAAGGGGGGGGGGGGGGGGGGGGG